CTGTACTTTCAATAAATAAATTGTTTTGAAAATAGGAAAAAAAATAAAAATACAGAAAATTTACGTAAAAAAGTCAACTGCCCTCCGCCAGAGAAAAACGTCAAGTCCAATCATCAGAACCATAAAATAAAAATTCATCAGAGGCTCTTCGCTAGCATAGCAAACTCCATTGCTCAAGCAAAGAGGCAGAATTGAAGGGGAGAGTGAAATAAATAAAAATAAAATATAAAAATACTAGGGGGTAAAAAAGACAAGTGATTTTATTTTTTTAAGAATAAAAAATTGAAGTCCCCAGAAAGCATTCCCAAAAAACGCAAGATTATGAGAGATATTTTGGCTTGTTATGGTAACTAGTGCAAAGGCTAGCAGGTTGGGTTGATGGGTTTCTAGTACTGGCAGTAGAAAGAAAGATTGAGAGATGATGATTTGATATAAAGGTTGAGAGAGATGTGAGGGTGGGAAAGCTTTTTGGTATCTCAAAACTCGAGCATGACGCGTCAAAATCCTAGAACACCAACCCGGCCTTGTTGATGGTGATGGACGGATCTGATTGATGATTGATGATTGATGATGAGATGCATGCATGACCACCATGTCAATATTTTTTAATCTATATCACCTCACCTCCTTCAATTCCCTCTACGGCTTTATAGAATATGATATAAAATTGTAATATATTTTTACATTAATAATTTGTTGCAAAAAACGCAGGCTTTATATATACATAATTGTTGTGTCCAATATCAATTCCTAATGGAATCTAATAAGATTTAGCTTAGGTTAACCTTTACTCAACTAGCTTATGTGGTAAACTTAGAGTTCGTGACCTAACCTAAACTTTCAGTCTTGAGCTACGTCTGTTCCCATCTATAGTATAGGTACAACGAGGTTATATGTATGATGTATCCTTCAAAGTCGTCAACAATTTCTAACTTTTAAAATCCCCCAACATTATATTATCGCAATAATAATTAGTCAGTATTTTCTTTAAATAAATAAATAAATATATATATATATATATATATATATATAAAGTGTCAAATAAAAAAAATTTGCTGAATGCAGTTAACACTATCTGATTTGTAAATTCTCAAATTAGATTTATTTCCCTTCGTCTTACGGTCTAATTTCTGTTTGCGTGTCATTTGTGGGAATCAAATCGAGATTAAATATTGCCACATGACCTACCCAATTGGGTTAAGGATTGCAATAGGCATATATATATATATATATATATATATATATATATATATATATATATATATATTCCAAATTGAATACTGACTAAAAATACGATGAAATTATGGTAATTTTGCGTATCATTGAAAGCTTAAAGTGCGTATTTTTAAAATATTATGTAATAATAATAATAATAATAATAATAATAATAATAATCATCATCATCATCATCATCATCATCATCATATTATTATATATTTTGTATAAGGGTATTTATGTCTTTTAAACATATTTTTCATTTCTATTTAATAAACCAACCAAATACTAGAATAACTTTTATAAAGTCTATTCATTAACCAAATAATGGAATGCAATTCGAATCTATTCCTTACCAATTTCATTCGGTGACCAAACGTGTCTTTAATGTGCACCATTTTTATCATTAAAGGTGCGTCATTTTAATACTTAAGGTGTATCATTTTAACACTGAATGTGTGTTACTCTAACACTTAAGATGCATTATTCTAATACTTGTGTTTTTGAAACACTTAAAGTGCGTCACTTTTACACTTAGCTTCTGCCTTCCTATAATGCACATTTAATTTTTTTTTTTATTAATTTAAGCCGTTGATCTATATTTGATCAATGACTCATATCTCACCACATGTTTCACTTCGGAGACTATTCTCACCAGATTTGAGATCTCATCCCATCTCCAACTCAAAACATCAAATTTTGCTCCAAAAAGAATATTCCCTACATATTCTTACACCAAATTTTATTCATCTCCAACCAATTACATCAAATTCTATTTTTACATTAAAATAATTTGTTTTCTCGATCATAAATTAAATCTTTACTTTTTTAATATAAAATTTAATTGTAATGTAAATAATATTTTTATTCCACAATAATATAACATATAACAACTATTACAGTTATTTTTCAAAATTACCATATCGTTCCCACAATGCTCAATTATGTTTTGTTTAATATTCAAAAGGAATAATGTTTTGTTTAATTTCGAATTTATTCAATTTAATTTTATGAAAATTATGTTTTATGTACTTTAGTTTTTAATTAATCTATATATAATATTAGTGTTGGTTTAATCGTCTCGATGAAATCTTTCAAATATAATAATTTATTTTTAATTATCCAAATTTTATGTTTATGTATTTAACCGAATGTGTAAATGAATAAAAACAAAATAAGGATACAAATTAAAATAAAAGACAAAGGGCAAACTTAGAATAAAAAATATTAACACCAATTTGGCATTAATCTATAGTGCAACTCCATATACACCAAAATGGTGCCTTTGTTGGAGACTATTTTGCACCATTTCTTCCATTATTTTGCCGTTTACCGTCTTCACTGGAGACGGCATAAGGTGGGAGGGATGGAGGAGTCATAAGCCCTTGTCTTTACTACTGTTTAGTCACTGTTTAGAGTAGTAATACGTGTGGGTTGTGTTTGGTCGGATCATAATAAATGTACCAATACCTATACTGTTTTTTTCCTTTCCGGAATGTTGAAATTTCGGTATACTTATTAATTGCTGTAGCGTGAGAGTTGTTGAGCCCTACTCCTATTCAGGATTTGACTATTCCTTTTTTTTTTTTTTTAATCTTAATATTACGGTATGCATTAAATATTTGAAATTAATTTTACTTTTCATTTTTTTAATGTTCCGGTAATCGTTTTAAATAGATTATATAAATTTTTATCTGACGGAATATTGGCGTTAGTCAATATGGGTAGGTTATTAAGTGTTAAGCAAGTATTTTGAGTTCCCATGCATGGATTAAATAATGGTACAGTAAAGGAAAATAAAATATTTAGGTAAAAAACGGAAGGGATGGAAAACTTACAAGTGGGTAATGAAAGAGATGTAATTTGAAGAAAAACAATTTACAATGTCCCTGTCAAATGGATTTTTTTAATCTTTCACTGTGCTGACAGGGGAGATTTGAAGCAGCTTTATCGATCAAAGGTGAAATCTCCTTTTTCAACAACACCTCGTCACCCCTCCTATTCCTACTGTTTGCTTCAATAATACACACACGCCGATTCCCAGCTTAATTATTTAGGATTAGCAACTAATATGGAAGGGTGTATTTAATTTGATTGTAATTAATGGTTCGGGTTGAGTTAATTGATATTTGAGTGGCATGGTCTACACAGTGCTGTATGAATCATAAGAAAAAAAATATATTTTTATTATATTAAATGTATATTATTTTTATACTGAATGTATATTATATAATATAATGTATACTCAGTACACAAATAATGTACATCTCCTAAATATAATTGATAGAGAATACCACGACTGACATGCCACGTGTTTTATTCTTGTTTATGCAGGTTACAGATCGGATATTCTTAGAAGAACCCGGTCGTACCCGACCGGCGAAGCACTTGACCGGCGTCTTCAGTACCCGATTGATAGCCCTTAGGCCAGAGAGTCGAGGAGAGGCACGTGGCAGTGCTAGGCGTTGACATGTAGGGCTTGCGGGGAGAAGACACGTTATTGCTACGTGGGTTACATGTCGGCTGCCCGGAGTTGTGTCTCCGACTTAGCGGCTATAAATACCCGCGGTGGCAACAGTGTGAGGGACTTTTGGACGATCGATAGGCTATTGTTAGAGCATCCCGACCGCAGTCAGTCGGTCCTCAGAATAGCCAGATTTTATTTAGGCCCTTCACCCAGTCAATAAAATCTTTATTTGCTTTGATTGGACTTGTGTTATTTATTTACCGCTTACGTGAGAATTAACACTATCAATAATGTACATTATTTTTGTACTAAATGTACATTATTTTACAGTATACAAAATATGGTCCATACAGTTTGTGTGGCCCATCGTCCACACAAACTGTAAGAGACATCTTGAAACGTGTACATAATCAAATTAATTCACATTCGCACTGAATCGACCCAATTAAAAGGTAAAATGATAGTCAGATTGGTACTGAAAAAATAATATTAATTTTTTAAAATACAAATTAAAGGAAAAAGATTAAAAAGAAAAAAAATACATATTTTATGGTATGGAGGATAGGAAAATGTATTTTTCACTCTGGATCTATATATTTTACTTTCTGTTCCTACCATTTTACTTTTGTTCACTGACAGAGGAATACCTGCACATTTCCTCACGCACGCACGCATACTCTAAACCACCCCCCACCCCCCCACCCCCCCATAATATACATACATTATACATACATCATCCTACTCTAGCTTATTTCTCTCTCTCTCATGGTTTTTCCAACTTATCCCTGCCCCTCTCTCTCTCTAGGCTTATGAAAATGATAATGAGAGGGCCGCGCGCAGTAGAGTACGAGCACAGAAGCTGATCAGAGCAAAGAGGTGCAGAGGTGCATGCAGATTATTGCAGGCAGATGCACAGATTTCATTTTTCCACCCCCTCCCTCCTATCATCTTCCTTCTTTTTCCATTTTCTTTCTCATTTTTTATTTCCTCCTCTAATCCCCATACATCATCTCCTCTTCTTCCATATTATAATAATATATACATTCTGGAAATCAGCCCGTCTGCTTCTGCGCTATTATATATATGTAATGCCGCTGCAGCGTTCTCAAATCTTATTCTACTTTTCTCTTCTCACACTATGAGTTGTTCTGCGTTTCTAGGTTCCCGTCTAGCCTTTCGCCTTGCAAGATTTCGTTTTGGTTTCTAGTTCTTGGATTTTCTTGGACTTTGGGAAGGCTAGGTGGCTAGCTAGCTAGCTTCCGTTTGTTGTGCTCTATATATTTGGTTACCTTCGAGCTGAGTTCTCTTCGGTACAGTAATGGAGGCCTTCTTAAGCTACCAGCAGCGTTTAGATTGTGGTGGGGGAGACGCTAATCTTCCGCCTGGTTTCAGATTCCATCCCACAGATGAGGAGCTTATCACTTACTACCTTCTGAAGAAGGTTGTTGACAGCACGTTCTCCGCCCGCGCCATTGCGGAAGTTGATCTCAACAAATGCGAGCCTTGGGAACTGCCTGGTCAGTCATTTTCACAAACACTTGGCGAGTGGTGTTTTTTTTTTTTTTTTTTTTTTTTTTTTTTGTTGTTATTAATTGATGGTTTGGGTGCGTGCAGAGAAAGCAAGAATGGGGGAGAAAGAGTGGTACTTTTTTAGTCTGCGCGATCGGAAGTACCCGACTGGGTTGAGGACGAACAGGGCTACGGAGGCGGGGTACTGGAAGGCCACCGGAAAAGACAGGGAGATTTACAGCTCCAAGACTTGTGCGCTGGTGGGGATGAAGAAAACCCTAGTTTTCTACCGTGGCAGGGCTCCCAAGGGGGAGAAGACTAACTGGGTCATGCATGAGTATCGGCTTGATGGCAAGTTTGCCTACCATTACTTCTCTAGAGCTTCAAAGGTATAAGCTTTCGCAATCCCTACCTTCTTTATTTTTACGTTCATATGTATGATCATATAAAAATTTGATTTTTTTTTTTTGTGTTTTAGGATGAGTGGGTTATTTCGCGGGTGTTTCAAAAGAGCGGCGCCGCCGCGGCTGCCGGAGTAGGGAAGAGGAAGATGTCCAGCATCAACCTCTACCCGGAAGTCAGCTCGCCGTCCTCCGTCTCTCTCCCTCCGCTTGTTGAATCGTCGTCCTACAACAACACTGCCACGTCCGCTCTCGCCATTGACAACGAGAGCTGCTCCTTCGACGGCGGCCACGCCGCCACCAAGGAGCACGTGCCCTGTTTCTCCACTGCTGCGCCGCAGACTTTCAACTCAAATGCTTCGCTGTTTGATCTCCCGCCGCCGCCGCTCGCGGCGGCCAATTTCTCCCCCCTCATCGACCCATCATCCACCCGGTTTGCAAGAAACAACAACGTCGGAGTCCCCGCGTTCCCCAGCCTGAGATCCCTCCAGGAAAACCTCCACCTCCCTTTCTTCTTCCCCAGCGCCACTCCGCCGCCCTTGCATGGCGGCCTGGGAGACCAGATGGGCGGCTACGGCTCCTCCATCCCCAGCTGGCCGGCGGCGACAGAATCCCAGAAAGTTGGCAGCTCTGAGCTTGACTGCATGTGGAGTTACTGATCGCTGAATCAAATCCGCTCTGCTCATTAGGAATCTTTAATTGCAGTGTTAAGAATGATCTTTATCTACTTTTAATTTATGAATTATGCAAGTCAGTAGGTGTACGTACGGGCATTGCAGCAGGCAGCAGCCTCGCTTGGCGTTAATTAACGTCTTGTTGTTGTTAACTTTGTACGTAACTGGAAAGCATGCAATGTTTGCATTATTAGATGTCCTTTTCTTGATTTGTCCTACGTACGAAGCGGCCATTAATGGTGGTAATGAAGTTGTATGTGCTATTTATTGCCACTAATAATGCGAATCCAATGGGATGTATTTAATGTACGGACGACGTGGTGGGGGCTGTCGTTTCTCGTCTGATTAATCAACTTCAATTCAGTCTTCCCAACACATTTTTTTATTTAATTGTTTTATGTTTATGTAGGGGCTCTCGAACCACTGAAGTTTTTTTTAGGTCATAGTTTCTAGGACGGTTATGCATGCATGTACTAGCATAGGTAATTCGATAAGTAAGATGGGTTAGTTTCGGTTGTATTCTTAGAGATGAACATGGCAACTTTAAGGCAGCCATAGGTGAAGAGTGGAGAAGGGCATAATATTTTTACTTATATTAAAAATAAAAAATTTGATGTTGATTAGATTAATTATCTCAGGTAAGTTTAGTCTTTGCCAAACTATCTTTGAATGTAACAACTCACTTGTTAGTTAAGCAGTTCGCTTTTATGCCAGGGTGTTTGGAGTGGTTTGTAGACCCTCTTACTATCTTAAAAATTCTTAATGAAGAAATGAATTAATCCTTGTTGTGTGGACACCGGTAAATGATGTAAAGACCAAGTCCAACACCTAGGGTCTCGAACAATTTTATGACAATTTATAAGGAAATAAAGTTATTCGCTACTACCTGTAGTGTTTGGAGGTGAGTGGTAACCGCTAAATCTGACAAGTGTTATTAGAGTCAAGTCACCGCGTTCAAGTCCTAGTCTACGTGGTGGTAATGAGTAATCGTGACACTTGTGTTGTCATAAGAAAAAAAAAGTTTTCTTTTTTCGATATATAGTAACAAACACTATATTAATAATTAGTATTATGTTTTTTTAATAAAAGTATTACATATTTCTAACCTTCCTGGTATGGGGTCTTATTGATTTTCGAAAGTCTATAAAACATTTTTCTCCCAACATTTGTTGTCAGTGGTCTTATGCCTTTCCCTTATTTTATGGGTCAAACCTCCCTAGTGTCACTCATTTTTCTCTCTTCTTTGACAGATGATAACAATAACAATAATAATAATAACAATTATTATTATTATTACTTTTTCTTTTATTAAAAGTTTGTTTTTTAGATACAAAGTAAATGTGCCAAAACCTTGCGGTCTAATGGCACTAAGGTTGCACTCTCATATGGGAGGGTGTAAGTTTGAACCTGTAGGTGTTATTGGTGAAATCTAATCTGATTTAGAATGCAGTATCTGCTCCCCGTGTTTAATGATAGGAGTCTTTAACATACTTTTTTTTTAAATGATATATATACATTTCCTTTTTTACAAATTTGAAATATTATTTTAAAACTTATACAATAATTGATTGTTTCACACAATTGGATTTGATTGTTTGGCAAATTCAATCACAATTATAAATATGGGAAGATATTTATCAAATTTTATTTTTTTTTTAAAAATAATAATACTTTAATTAGAACAAACTCAACAAAAAGTAAGAAATAGAAATTAATTTTCCTTTTAACTATTTCCTATTAAGGAAATAAGGAAAATATACTTTAATAACTCTATATCTTCAAGCCTGTCTGTAGCCATTTTTCCGTATCCCAAATGCATGCATGAGGAGCCTATATATTATAGGCATTAAAGGAGAGGTTGAGGGAATTTAATTCCCCGTGGATAAGATATTTAAAAATGAAATTCAAGATTAAGGGTCTCTTATCCTTTTATTTATGCCTCAACCAGAAAAATTACTTGGAATAGTTCGGTAAATATTAGGATCATGATGTACATTATAATATGGACCATATAAAAAAAAAAAAAAAAACGCCATTTAGAATGGAAGATAACAAATTCTTTTATGCTTCGTAACCCCTCTCTTATTATTCAGTTTTATTTTAATTTAATTACTATTTTATTTGATAGTATACATTCAATGTATGAAATCTATTATTTTAAACACACTAACAGTTTCATTACAACAACACTACCAAAGTATCATTTTCATTCAAATATAGTTTGTTCTGACAATATATATTTAATATATGAAACTTGCTATTCAATTTTCATTTTATACCCACAATAGTTTGATTATAGCCATATTACAGTGCCATTTTAATTCAATTACATTTTCGTGTGACAATATACATTCAATGTATGAGCTATGCTACTCAGATTCATTTTATACACATAATAGTTTCATTGCCCCAGAACTAATGTATCATTTTAATTTAACTACAGTTTATTTGACAATATATATTCACTGTATAAGCCATACTATTCAGTTTCATTTTATACAGACAATAGTTTTTCACAACAAAACTAAAGTATATGTTTTCTTTTTAGTACTATTAACTCTATTACAAAATACTATATGTTTTATACTGCTAAAGCATCATTTAATTTAACTACCATTTCATTTGTCAATATACATTCAATTTATGAGTCATGATATTCAATTCCATTTTATGTATACAATAGTTTAATTACAGTAACACTAAAGTACCGTTTTAATTCAACTACAGTTTAATTTCACAATATACATTCAATGTATGACAATCGATTCATTATAGTAACACTCAATTATAATTTTTTTTTAGTGAAACAACATATAAAACTGTTCAGGTGTTACAACCACATGGCGAAACATTGTCTTTATTTTGTATGACATTTTAGCAAGGAATGAAACATTGCTTATAGAATAACAATATTACCACCCTAATGAACCTTTAGGTTTGCAACAATGACATTGAAATAGCAAGAATACCGAATACAATTGCTCTGAAGCTTTGAGACCTAACAATAACGCGCCGGAGAAGTAATAAAGCTAAATGATTGCTTTTTTTTTATTATTTTTTTTTTTAAATTTAAAGTGATTCAATGTTACATGATTCATTTATTGTAACGACGACCATTTCTTTTAAACTCATTATTTCTATAATCTTTGAATCTTTTTCAATTTAAAGAATCAATGCATTTATTATCAAGAGTTTGATCCTATAATTAATCATTTAAAACGATAACACATGTGATATCACATTACATATAGTACGGTTTCTTTACATTAAGCGAAACACCGCGGTTTTAAAGCTAGCTTGGTTCACCGTATAACCATCGGAGCAATCCTTGTCCTAAATATGTCCGAATTTGGACTGATATAAGCTGTCCATATTTTCGACAATTTATTTGCACAAAACCAGTCCAAGTCTGAACAGAATTAGTGCCCAAAATCCAAATTCCTATCCATATTCAGACTAAATAATCATTATTCCAAAAGGCTGAACCCTAAACCTAAGGGCCCCCCACACCCCAGCCCGACAGAGCGGTGGGAGGTTGTCAGCTTGATGGCGAGCCGACCGCGGGGTGGTTCGCCACGCGTCGTGGATAGTCTGTTGATGCCTGATCCGACCCGCTCTGTATTGCTCCGCTCCGGACCCGCTCCGTGATTATTCCATCAAGGTCTTTATATAAAAATTTTGTATACTAATATTAAATTTAATGTTATGAAAAATTAAATTAAAAATAAATTAAATCATGTAAATTGAATCAAACACATAAAATGAAATGAATGAAGCAATAAAATGTGGCACAGTCGGATAAGTACTAAACAATGTCATATAATAATGGGTTATCATTATGGTAGTATATATATATAATTATGGGTTATGACCTATGTTGATCTGATGTAGTGCATTAATTTGTCTTACTCTGAGAACATACACAGATCATTAATTTTAGAGAGAGAGAGAGTGAAGTTTTATGGAGAGGTGAGGTGTTGGGCTGATCATATCACGTGTATGCCCCCCTCTCTCTCTCTCTCTCTCTCTCTTTCTCTCTACAATTGTGGAAGAGACCAATTTAAAAGCTTGGCTGCTCTGAAACATTTATGCATCTGTTCTTGGCTTGGCTCCATGTTTCTCTTGTTGTACGGCGCTGCACTCCACGCTCGTGCATATAATATGGTGGTCCTACCACTACTGCACATCTCACTCACTGCGTCCATCTCTTCCTATCCATTATATTATATCACTATTGAAAATTCTGAAATTTCCGACCACCTGAAAGTGATCTTAAATCAATTTGAAAGCCTTGTTTTCGATCACTTTTGGTATCCGAAAAACCTTTGCTGCTATTTCCGACCATTTTTTGCTTTCAATTTGATTTAAGATCACTTTCAGGTGGTCGGAAATTTCATAATTTCCAGTAGTGTATAGTATTTCCTCCCATGCATTTTTTTCATATATTCATAGTGATACATCTATTCACCAAAATGAAAGAGATCAGACCTAATTAAATCGTTTAAGTATAAGCTAAGGTCGAGAGTTATTCATCATCATCTACCGCTCTAGCTAGCATGTTATGTTGAATTGGGCACAGTACCAAAGGTGGTTTGGGGGATTGGGGTTTTGGCATGATGATGACAATTGCAGGCACAGAAACAAATATTTGCGCTCTTCTCACTTTCTGATATTGATATGGAATGTGCAAAAGTCCAACCACTAAAAGTTGCCTTTCCAGTTTCCTTAAGTACATCAGATCAGATCAGATCATCAAAATAATCATCAACCATATATCATCATTATATCCTTCAACATCTTGCACACTTTTTTTGCTTTTTATTTATTTATTTATTTTTTGGGTTAGAATTCATAGTTGGAAAAAACAACTTGTGTTAGAAACTTAGAATTCAAGTTCAACTAAACAATTGATTGTAGGTATACATTCAAATGTATTATGACTTGATTTGTTTATATGCACGTCTTTTTTCACCTTTGACAAGTTGAAAATATATGCTTTTGCTTTTCACATAATAACATATGTATATGCATTAATCGAGTAACACTGTTATTAAATTGTATGTCAAAGTCTGAATTGCAACCGTCTCTAGTTCCTAAATCCTCTATGTTGAGGTTATCTAGGGTTACGTTTCTATTACTAGTAATTCAATTTCGCATTTAATTTCAAAGTTAGAAATCCAATTGGAGTGAAACCGATTGGCTTTTTGTTTGGAAAAATACTCAACGTGTTTTTACAAATTAGGAGGGTTAGATGATGTTAATAATGAAAATGAGAAGTTACCATCAAAGCTTAAGGAAAGAAAATGAAAAATATAACGAAAGATTGTAAGTGGCACTATCATCATGACGGTCAAGTACCAAAAGTCGTTTGTTGTGACAAATTATTGTGTAGAGTATGGTCCACGTAGTTGTGTGGACCATGAATACAAAATATATTTTTAATATATTAAAATTATATTATTTTTGTATTAAATGTACATTATTTAATAGTATATAAAATCATGTATTTTTAGTACTCAAATAATATACTTACAAATAATGCACTTAATGTAAATATATTAAAAATGTATTTTTTTTTTATTTATGATCCACACAATTGTTTGGATCATGGTCTATGTAATAATGTTTTGTTTGCAATTGTTATATAGTGGACCATGGTCCATAGTGCTATGTGGACCATGGGCGTCAAATGAAACTGTAATAGAATTAAAATGATATTTTAGTGTTGATAAAGTGAAACTAGTGTGTGTGAAAAATGAAACTAAAAAACATAGCTCATTCAACAATGTATATTGTCAATTGGAACTGTAGTATAATTAAAATGATTCTTTAAGTCTTTAATGTTGTTAAAATGAAACTAGTGTGTGTGGAGAATGAAACTGAAATTCAGTGTCATACAATAACATATGATATATTATCAAATGGACGTGGAGTGTAATTAAACTAATATTTTAGCATTATTATAATTAAATTAGTGTGTGTGAAAAATGAATTTACAAAATAGAGCTCATACAATCATGTATATTGTCAAATAAAACTATAGTAGAATTAAAATAATACTTTAGTATTACTATAATGAAACTAATGTGTGTATAAAATGAAACTGAAAAATAAAGCTATATTGTCAAATGATACTAAAATTTACTTACTTCATGACCATGGTCCACAGTAAAATTTGCCAAGCTTCAAACCCTTATTTTGTTACAAGGTTTGACGACTCAGTTGGCTTAGCCCGTTTTGACTGAAGAGATGAGATGCTGCTTAGAGCATCAATATCAGAGGAGCTTTGAGAGTTTATTCACAGTTTACAATGATTGCTTTTCTACATAGAAGAGAGAGAGGAGAAGCTCTCCCTGCAAATATTGTGATATTTCTCTTCTCAAGGAAAGAGAAATATCATAGGAGATTTGGTTGCTGACTACTTGCTGTGTGTGTTTCGCGCACAACAACAGCCACATCACGCGCCTGTGTGGCGCATCAGGCACGCCAGACATACATTGTTTTAATATTTTTTTTTTATTTTAATATAAGTTTTGCTTTATTGTTTTTTTTTTCCTTTTTCTATCCCCTCCCTTATTCTCTTTCTTAATCACACTTGTAAAAATCTCTCAAAAATCACAATAGAGATCAACTATTGAAGATCTTATGTTGCTTTTTGGATCTGATTAAAAAAGGGCAATTATTGGGCTAATGTTTGATATTGGAGGCCCATAATAACTTTACGAAAGAAGCCCATTACACAGCCTAAACTAAAGCAACTACTACTACTAGTCAGTTTTTCAGCACATCATTTTCACTTGTTTTCGAGTTTAGGCAAATTTTACTGGATCATGATCAATTTAGTAGTGTGGTCCATGAAGTATGTATCATCTTAATTATATTTTAATTATATTTAACAATATTACTCTGTTTTTAATTTTATTTTCACAACATACTAATTTTATTATAGCAGTACTGAAATATCTTTTTTTTTTGAAAGCTACTGGTTTTATTACATTGTAATATCTGTTCAACCAATAACGCCTCCACTGAGGCTCGAACTCATAATCTTCCAAATGGAAGTCCAACCCACTGGTACTATAATTTCATTGTACTATAATTTCATTTAACAATATACATTATAGTATGAAATTTATTTTATAGTTTCATTTTCCACACACTGGTTTAATTATAGTAATGTTAAAGTATTATTTTAATTACATTCCAGATTCATTTGACAATATATGTTATTGTATGACTATAAATTTTAATTTTATTTTCCACACACTAGTTTCATTATAAAAATATTATAGTATCATTTTAATTATATTACAATTTCATTTGATAATATATATATATATATATATATATATATATATATATATATATATATATATATATATATTAATTTCATTTCATACACATATTAGTTTCATTATGACAATACAAAAATATCATTTTAATTGTAATATTGTTTTATTTGATAACCATAGTCCACACAGCACTATGAACCATGGTCCACTTATAACAATTGTAAGTTTAAGGAGTAGTTATGCTGTGCATACGGATGCAAAAACGATGTCGTTTTATTAAAAACGCACGTCTTTCCTTCAAAAAAAAAAAATCAAATTTGATTCCCAGCAACAACATTCATATGTTGTTGCTGGGAATTGAACTTGAATTTTTTTTAAGGAAGACGCGTTTTTTTTAATAAAAAGACGTCGTTTTTGCATCATGCATCATGCATACGATGCCCAGCATAATTTGCCAAGTTTAAGGGGGAGAGCCTGTTACTTTCGTCGAGCCCCTTGCAATGGCCGCTTCGCGTGCGAAGCAGAAGGCGGAATGCTTGGAATGAAAAAGGTAAATGAAGCAGTGTTCCAAATTTTGCTGTTCAATTCTGGTTTGAAATTTTCATTTTCTTAATTCTTAATGCCTGCGTGTCGTGTCTAAATTGTGTTTCAAACAGATCTTCTTCAATTGATTTGGCCCCAGGTTCCCCGTTATGATGGATCCAGTAGTTGAGTTTAATTTGTGTTAGAACTTGAATATGGCTGAGTTATTGCTTTTGAAATGGTAAATGAGAGTATTCAAGTCTGTGAATTGCTTCATTAGGAAGACTGCACTACTATGTCATGATGCTTAAAGCAATGCCTCTTGAGTTTTATTTTAATGAGAGTAATACTGAAAACTAATACTAATGCTGGATTGCTTGCTGGTGCTTTATATCTTCTTTCTTTTGTATGATTTCTGCAAAAAATCATCAAATCTGGTGTGTTTTAGTCCGTTATTTACAAATGTTCATGCGCTATAATAAAATGTTGTTGATATAATGATATTATAGTTTAATTAATGGTTATGGTATACGAAAGAAGATTTGTGTGTGTGTGTTTTTCTGTTGGACTCTGATAGGTAGTTCCCTAGTCCCTCGGAAATGGGCAATCAGCGATATACGTGGTTTTGCCTTTATATAAACTCTGCTATCTCTCTCTCTGTTTTGCAGAGAAGAAAAGGTCGAGTTTTCAGGATGCCCGCTAGAGACCGATCTAACGCCGCCAACGACGGCGGCAGAGAGACCCGTTATAGAGGCGTCCGCAAGAGGCCGTGGGGCCGTTACGCCGCCGAGATCAGAGATCCCTTTAAGAAGACCCGCGTCTGGCTCGGCACCTTCGACACTGCTGAGGAGGCCGCCCGTGCCTACGACGCTGCTGCCCGCGAATTCCGCGGCACCAGAGCTAAGACCAATTTCCCGGCGGTTTCCACTTCCGCCTTTTGCCCCAGTCTCAGCAGTACCGTTGAGTCCGCCGGCTCCGGGCCCTCAATCCTCCCCGCCGCCCCACCTACTCCGCCGTTGTCCCTATTCCATTTGCCTTGCGTCTTCCCCGTGCCACGCCCGCTTTACTACTACGATCCGCGTGGCCAAGCCGGGGCGTTGAACCACCGTCTCGACATCCTCAGATTGTACCCGCCTGCCTCTTCTAGTGTTCAGAGCGACTCCGATTCTTCCTCGGTCGTTGATTTCGACTGTTCTGAGCCGAGTTCGCTGGGGAAAGCCGTCGATCTCGACCTCAATCTCCCTCCTCCCGCGGAATTGTCCGATTGACAGACACGCTCAGGCCCACCATTTTCTTTTCTTTTCTTTTCTTGAAAAACAAAATCTTTATTCCATAAGAGAAGAATACAGAAACTGTAAGGATTAACGAAACATACAAAACTATAAACGATAAGAAGGTAATATGTATATATACATAAGACATTCATAAGCTTAGAAAGCATCCTCTGTTTTTTTTTTTTTAGCAGCTTAGGAAACTAACAATTTAGAGTGTCTCAAAATTTTGTCATTTGGTTATCTTTATTACATGAGGATCAATAATTTAAGTTTTGAGGATTCCGGGAATTTCTCATTGGAAAAGTTTTGAGATTTTTTTGTATGCTTAATTGAATTATCCTTTAAAAAGTTCTTACAGCCTTTTTAGCTACATTTATTCCAATTTTGTGTTTTCATTTTTTTTTTAATTATTTCTTCAGTTTTCTATTCTGCACTTTCTATATATACAAGACTACAAGTATAATCTCTGTTTACTTTACATTTTCATTTTTTCAAAAAATTTGAGAATTTTTTTTTATTAGTAAACTCATTCTTTCTATCTCTATTATGTCAAGGTGGCTTGTGATCTGCGAAATTTGGCCCACATGAAGGGCAGTGTCCTTAGACACTTCTCTTAGCACTGTAACAGTGAAAAAAATGTTTCTTTTATTCAATTCAATTTTACTTTGTTTAATCTGAGCAGGGTTTTTGAGGTTGTGCACCAAGTAGTTGTGGTGAGAGAGAGAGAGAGAGAGATGGGAAGGATATTTGTGATGAATATGGAAGGGAGGGCTTACAGGTGCAAATTCTGGCAGACCCAGTTAGTCTGTGCTGATGATCTTGTTTCCAGGGTACATTTTTCACCTATTCCTCATGTCCTTTCCTTTGCTTCTTACTTTATTAATTCTGTATTTGTATCTTTAATAGAGATAGTTAACCTTGCAATCAGTCTGATTCAAATTTCCAGCTTTTTGTTGTTGTTATTGCAATATTAGATGTTACAGACTTACAGGTTACCACAGGTTCAATGTTGAAGTGAGACTCAGTGTTAGGCTAGCAGTGGTACGAAATTTGGTATAATCATAGCCTTTAGTGACTGCATAAAATTGGTTCTTTAGGGGGAGTACTTGTAGTGCCTGTTGCATAGACATTGATTATTGGAAGAGAGTTTGAATAGCATTAGCCAAGGTCACCTTATTGATATATATTGTGGAGTTGTTACCTGTGTAAACAAGTTTATCGTTCTTTGGATTTGTCTTTTATACTTGAGAGTTTCGATGAGACCTGTTATGGGGAGCTCTCCCAACACTTACTATTCTATTTACAAGATTCAAATGCAAAACCTTAAAACTCCTTTCACTTGAACCGCAGATTGTTGGTGATTTGTCGTCACTTTTAGTCTCTGCAAAATTACGCGTGGAAGTAGTGCCATTTAAAGATATGTGTTCTAAGCCTTTATTGTTCAGACTCAATTAGTCTGTTTGGATAAACACTACTGTATTCATAGCCTGATTTTTGGTTTCTTGATTTGTTAGGCATTTCATTGTCGGATTGTGCGAGTACTCTATCTACCCCAATGCAGAATATTTGCTGGTTATTTCAGTCTGAGGACGATTCTTGATGTGTAAACCCATGAACTAAGCACACCCACTGTTTTTTCAGAAGGCAGATTTCAGGTTTCTTGGACTTCTGATCAAAGCTAGGAAGAGCACACAAAATACCAGATGTGGTTAGTTTACCAACAAAGAAGAGCACAATGAAATTCAAACTAAAATGTGGAAGGCATTCTCCATCCAGAATCTAGGGACCGCAAAATGATAAATGGAAAATTATTGAGTAGGTATTGCCATATTATTAAAGAGATACATTACCAGGACTCTCAATTTATAAGTTGGTGGTAGTAGAGAATGTAGTACATATAGAAATTTTCATTATTAAAACCCAATCATGAATGTGTACTAGATAGTAAGGGAATGAAAATAGGACGAGATTGAATTTTTTTTTTTGGTAACTCAAGTCTTTCAGCTTTGCCGGACCATATTCAAACCTTGTGAACTTGCCCCAGGTCCGTAAGGGGATAAATTGAGTCAATCTACACTTATGCGCACAAGGAGTTGATTCGAAACCCAAACTCTTTGGTGTTTGGTTCGCTTGAAAATATTTTTCATTAAAAATGTTTTCCTAAAAGTGGAGAAAAATTTTGTTTTCCGGTGTTTGGTTGGATGGAAAACATTTTTCATTGGAAGTGGAGTTCTTGGAAGTTGAGAAAAATAAATTATGAAAAAAAAGGGTGGCTGACTTGGAAAGAAAATATAATATGAATAGACTATTATACCCTCTTAAAAGTTTCTTAATTATATACTCCGTAGCTATATAATAATATAATTTATTATCATTATTATTGTTAAGGGCATATTGATTTTTATATTCATAATTTCTTACCATTCCAAACCTAACCAAATAATGTCATATTTTCAGTAATTTCTTTTCTACCAACAAAACAATGGAACTCATTTTCTTGAAATTTATTTTTCATGAAATTTCAATTACATTCCTCTTCAAATATTTTCTATCAAACCAAATAGACTGAAATGTTTGTGGTAGGAATTAATCCCGTCATGTTATTATGGGATAAAATGTGCAAATATAAAAATATATGTATGTATATCTCCAAATATATTTTCCCTTAAATATTAATTGTATAATAATTTTAAAAATGCATTTTAATTCTTTTAATTATGAAAATGACACCAAAACGTTTCTTGATAAAAATCAATAAGTTATGATCATTAAAAGATGATTCTATTATAAGTTTTTAATATTTAAATAAATTCTATATATCCACATATGTATATTTCGCATTATTTTTGAAACACAATGTTAAATATTAATATAATTAATTGGTTTTTTTTTTTTTTTTTTTTTTTTTTTTTTTTTTTTTTTTTTTTTTTTGTCCCTGAAAACTAGGGTTTCCTCTCTACCCCCTGAGATCTAGGGTTCCGACGGTTTTCTTGCTGCGTTAGTCTGGTCGAACACCGGCGAAAAAGCCATGGATGTAAGAGACATCACTGCATCGACTGCGGGAATGAGCCTGGATGACGAGGAACTGGGCGTACGGTTTGAGGACGAAGGATATACGATTGCGGTTCCACAACAAGAACGTCACACATGGACGTTAGTCGGTAGATTCCTAACTGACCGAATTCTGAAGGTGGAGGTGATGAAACGGGTTATGGCCTCGGCATGGCGGCCATTGATGGGAATTGAGATTACGGATGTTAGTCCGAACTTATATCTCTTTACATTCTTTGACGAGACGGACATGCGTCGGGTGTTGGAGGAAGGTCCTTGGGCGTTTGAAAACGCAACGTTTCTTTGCCAGGTGCTGAATAATGGGGAAGATCCGACGCAGGTAATACTCAACACGGTGGATTTCTGGCTGCAGGTTTATGATATTCCATTGGGATACCGAACTGTAAAAGTGCTGGAGCGGATCGGGGATTTTGCGGGATTGTTTTTACGTTGTGATGAACGTAATTTTGAAAGGCCGTGGACTTCATTCTATCGAGTACGTATAACACATGATGTTTCGGTCCCGTTGAAATGACGCATGAAGATGATTATGAGGGATGGAACGTGGGTCTGGGTAAATTTCAGGTACGAACGGTTGCATATGTTCTGCTTTTTTTGTGGTGTGATGGGGCATACTGATAAATTCTGTTTAGCTGCTCGTCGTTCGTTATTAACACCGGATCAATATTTATTTGGTGCGGCTATGAGAGCGGGCGGTAATAATCCGGCCAAGACATTGGGGGATAAATGGTTTAAAATGGGGCAAGAACGAAGGAAAGAAATTGGGTTTGGTGTAGGGGGTTACGGACACGGTACGGTAGTCATGAGTGGGCTGGCTACTGCTGGAGTGAGAGGGAGGGTTGCGGTGGGTAATGACGTGAGGGAGAATGGTGATGATCAGGAGGGGATGGCGAGAGAGAAGGGGGTAATGGGGGAGGAAGAGGGAGTTAGGGTGGACCCGAAGAGGCGTAGAGTCGATGGGGAGGTTGGTGGTGGAGTGGAAGTGGGGGTGAATATTGAGCCAGGCAACTCACGTTTGGCAAATTCTGGGATTGAGGGTGGTGGGGGAAATCGGGTGAGGGAGGGAGTGGTGATGGGAGAGGATATAACAATGTCCGATGTTCAAAAAAACTTGCAGATGGCGGGTGCTGCGGTGCAGACCCGCCCGACCCAATGAGTACATTGAGCTGGAACTGCCGTGGCTTGGGTAATCCACGGACAGTTCGGGAGATTGAGGACGTAGTGTCCCGCAAGAAACCCGATTTTGTATTTCTGATAGAAACCAAGGTTAACCGAGATCATGCAGAGCGACTTCGGATTAAGCTGGGTTTCGAAGGCCTTTTTAATGTGGATAATTCTGGATTGAGTGGAGGACTGGCATTGTTGTGGAGAACGAATGATATTGCAAGAATAATGGGTTATTCTAATAATCACATAGATGTGGAGGTGAGTGTGCCAGGGTTTGCTAAGTGGAGGATGACTGGGTTTTATGGCTTCTCGAAGCGTCCGCAGAGAAGGGAGTCGTGGGACCTTATTCGATCGTTGGCTAGTAGATCGGATCTGCCATGGGTGATTATTGGAGATTTTAACGATCTCTTATATCAGTATGAGAAACGGGGAGGAAATCCCCATCCAGACAGTTTGCTACGGGGGTTTGGAGAAACAATTGAAGAGTGTGGTTTGACGCAGTTGCCAATGTCTGGATATCCCTACACTTGGGAAAAAGGTAAAGGCACACCGAACTGGATAGAGGAAAGACTAGATAAGGTTTTGGCTACTCAAACCTGGAGAGACTTGGTGATTGATGCAAATGTACAGAATATATTAACCCGAAAATCAAATCATTCCTTCCTTTTCCTTGGGATTCTCAATCTTCGGGGAAGGACGGGTGTTCGAAGAAAGGGTTTTCGTTTTGAGATGGCATGGCTACATGATGAGGGGTGTAGGGAGGTGGTGGAGAAATCATGGGGCGAGGGAAGAGTCAGGGGGTTGCAGGAGTGTGTTGCTCTATGTGGTGATCGGTTAACACGCTGGGGTGGAGACCGATCCCATAAGTTTGGCGAAAAAATAATGAAATTACGAAAGGAACAAATGCGCCTAAGGGGATGTACAGGTTCAACATCCCTAGCTGAATTTCGGAGACTAGATGAATGTTTGGCTCATGTTGAGCTACAAGAGGATACGTACTGGAGGCAGAGGGCCAAACAGCATTGGCTCAAGGATGCGGATTCAAACACCAGATTTTATCACAGGTATGCTTTTCATCGAAAGAAAAAGAATGCTATTACTAAAATTATGAATACTGATGGGGATGCCATGACAAATGTAATCATGGATTATTATCGTGGAATTTTTAACTCGAGTACTCCTGCTATTGATGATGAGTTCTTTGGGAGTATACACTCACGTGTGACAGGCATACAGAATGAGAGTTTACTGCGCCCCTTTGAGGAAAAGGAGATTAAAACTGCATTGTTTTCGATGTATCCTGATAAAGCACCAGGGCCGGATGGTATGAACCCTGGTTTTTATCAGCACTTTTGGGATGTAGTGGGTACTGATGTTTCCTCTTATATTCTGAATTGTTTGAATACTTGCTCAATGCCTGATAAGTTAAATGAAACGAATATTATCTTGATTCCCAAGAAGAAAACCCCGGAAATGGTTTCTGATTATAGACCAATTGCTTTGAGTAATGTCGTTTACAGAGTTATGGCAAAGGTAATTACAGCCAGGATGAAACCATTAATGGAGAGTATTATATCAGAATCCCAGAGTGCATTTATATCTGGAAGACTAATTACAGATAATATCTTGATAGCTGCGGAAGTTGGCCATTTTTTGAACAGGAAGCAGTGTGGGCTAACAGGTTGGGGAGCTTTAAAGCTAGATATGGCGAAGGCTTATGACCGTATGGAATGGGCTTTTTTGGAAAGGATGCTAAGGGCACTGGGATTTGATGAAAGATGGATAGAGTTACTGATGATGTGTGTAACCACTGTATCTTACAATGTAATGGTAAATGGTTCGAAGACTGATGAAATAACCCCGACTCGTGGTTTAAGGCAAGGTGATCCCCTCTCACCTTATTTGTTTATTATTTGCGCTGAGGGACTTTCAATATTATTACAACAGGCACAGGCAAAAGGGGAGATACATGGATGTAGAGTGGCAAGAGGAGCTCCCTCAATTACTCATCTATTCTTTGCTGATAGTCTGCTTTTTTTCAAAGCAAATACTCAAGAGGCCGGTGTGGTAAAACGGTGTTTGTCGGAATATGAAAAAATGTCTGGCCAGGCAGTTAACTATCACAAATCAAACATTTGTTATAGCAAGAATACTCGTGCTGAAATAAGAGAGGAGATTGCTGATATGTTGGGAATAGTGCAGGCTCAGAATTTTGGAAAATACTTGGGGATTCCATCATTTGTGGGCAGGAATAGAAAGGTGGCATTTTCATATATTGAAGATAAGATAAGGCAGATGATTAACTCGTGGAATAAGAAACTTTTGTCACAGGCAGGAAAGGAAGTTTTATTGAAAAGTGTGGCTCAGTCTATGCCTACCTTTTCAATGAGCGTTTTTCTACTCCCTATGACTCTGTGTACTGCCATTGAACGAACCATGAATCGATACTGGTGGAGAGCGAGAGATGACCAGGGTATTCATTGGAAAGCTTGGGATAAACTGTGTATCCCAAAGGAATATGGAGGATTGGGGTTCAAAGAGCTACGTGCCTTTAACCTTGCAATGTTGGGCAAGCAAGCGTGGCGCTTTCTGACACAGCCTCATTCGTTGGTCTCAAGAGTATATAAGGCCAGGTACTATCCCACCAATTCTTTCTATGAAGCATGCTTGGGGAATAACCCAAGTTTTTGTTGGCGAAGTATTTTGGCAGCACAGGATTTAATTTGTGGAGGGGTTAGGCGCTGGATTGGGAATGGCAAATCAACTTTGATTTGGGAACACCCATGGTTACAGGATATGAGTCACCCGAAAATTGTAACAGAAAAACCACCCCAATTGGCACAGGCAAAGGTGATGGGACTGATGGACCAACAGACAGGTACCTGGGACCAAGAGATACTAGCTGATATTTTGGATCCTGGGGATGTAGAGCAAGTTCTAAAAATACCTGTGTCACCAGATTATGAGGATTTGTGGTATTGGTATGGGGACCCAAAAGGTGAATATTCGGTGAAAAATGGTTATAGAACAATCGTGGGTAACTACACCCAAACGGTTGGGACCTTTGATAAATGGAAAGTATTATGGAAGCTTAAAGCCCCCCCAAGGTGGAAAACATTTCTGTGGAGAGCTTTACATGATATTTTGCCCACTACGAAGAATTTACTTATAAAGAGAGTTGATATTGATCCAACATGTGCCATGTGTGGAATTGGGCATGAAGATATTGTGCATTCGTTGATCACATGTGATTATTCGACAAACATTTGGGCACAATCCCACCTTCCAATCCCAAATAGTGTCACAAATATTTTCAGTGATTGGTTTAATGATTTGATGAATACTTTAGATAATGATGGAATTATTTATGCAGTGGCACTCTTATACTATATTTGGCGGGCAAGGAATGGGGCTGTATGGGAGGCAGTCTTACCCAGGCCTCAGAAAATAATTGCAATGGCATCATCAGCTGTGAATTCTTGGAAACAAGCCCATCCTGGACTGCGAGTACTGGCCACTTCCTCAGCGGCACCCAGCCGGACTGCCACTGGGGCAGCATCGTCCAACCGGACTGCCACCGTGGTCGACAGCCACGTAGCTACGCCGAACCCCACGGCAAATCGCGTTATTACTGCAGAGCTGCCAGCGCCGATTATGGACTCCCAGCCCACATCACATATGAGGAATCAATGTTACTTCGATGCGGCATACGACCCACACACGAACAAAGCAGCGGTAGGAGCTATTATTCTAAATTGGCAAGGACATTATATTTCGGCTATGACTGCCCCAATGATAAATTGTTTCTCACCACTAATGGCGGAAGCCAATGCATGCAAGGAAGTTTTGTCGTGGCTAAGAAACCGCGGAATACAATCTATCGACCTCTTCACGGATTGTTTGGTACTACAACAATACCTATCATCTACGACGCACTCGTCAAGATCGTACTTGGGATATGCCGTTGATAGTTGCAGGACTATTATGTCGTCTTTTGATTATTGTTTACTTCAGTATGTTCCTAGACTAGATAATTATTTAGCTCATACTTTAGCATCTACTGCTTTTACTCAGACAACTAGTATGTACTCGGATTATGATCCGCCAGCATCTATTTCTGCATATTTTCAATAAATGCCGTACAGGCTCCTTTAAAAAAAAAAAATAAAAAAAAATTGGTGAATATTTTACTTTAGATCCACCGCAAAATTGGAGAATTTGAAAATAAATAAAGTAGCAAGAAGTCAAGAACATAAAATTATAAAATTGGGTAGTTGGTATCTTTTTTACCTCTTAAAATTACTTGTTTTTTTTTTTTTTTGCTTTTTTTTTTTTTTTTTTTTTACGAAAACAAGGAATTAATTCATTTCCAAAAGCAAAGCATTACAAATGAAAGGAGGGTGAGAAATCAATTCCTTGCAATCAGACTAAAAAACAAATTCTTAAGCTAACAAGTGGACAACTCCATTTATTTATCGCTTAATAAAAGATATTAACGCTTTCAAACAAACAAAGGATATTAGCACATTACTAAAATGTAAAGCTATATCTTTAAATTTAACCTTTATTTAGAAAAAAAAAAAAAATCAAAAGAAGACTCTCCATATGCATTGTTGAGATTTTACTTTTGCCGTTTAGATTTAATCTTTACCCTTAACATTTTTCTTTGAGATTTAATTATTTTTGTGCCTATTTTCTATCATTTTTTAAAAGTCAAAATGATAGTTGACCACTTATCAAAAGAATAGTCCATATTAAGCATAGCGGTGAAACTTTGGAAGAATGACCAGGGGATCGAGTCTCACCAGCGGTAGTGTGGGAGCTACCTCTCAAAGTGAGGGAGTTTTTTGTGCGCAGGAGCAAAGGTCTAACCTCTGTGGTTCATGTTCAGTTGAGTTACCATAATTTACATCATCCCAAATGCTCTGTCGAGTCGGAGTGTGGGGATCCTTAGGATTGGGGTTCAATCTTTTGGAAGAAGCATAGCAATTAGAACCTAGTAAGGATGGTGGCCACTGTTTTTTTTTATTCTTTTATTTTTCAACTTTTAAAAAAATAAATCGAGGACAATTAAGAACATACAAAAGTCTACCTCATTATAAAATGTTGATATAGAAAGAAGATTATTAACAAAAAAACTAGATTTATAATATTTCAAACAATTAAATGGTTAAGGGATCAAATTTTAAAAAATTGAAGGAGTAATTAGGTAACAATTAAAAGCATAATTTTAAAAAATAACAAACAAACAATGTATTTACATTAATTTTAATTCTTTTAATGTATAAAATTATATTAACGCGTTTAAATTTGAGTGTAATATTTTGAAATCTTGGATAAAATTAATATTGTGTGTTTGAATATGTACCGAAAAAAGAGATTATGTTTGAATTGAATTTTTACTCCAAAGAAAAAAAGTAATTTACAAAAAAAAAAAAAAAAAAAAAAAAAAAAAAAAAAAAAAAAAAGGATCAAGAATAAGCCTCCGATTCAGAGCATTGTGCCTCTATCCCCAAACCCACAAGGCCACATCCTCCTATGCTCTTTCTGACTCTCTCTGTCCTTCGAAGATTTCAATTTTTCCCCACTCGACTCTTCAATCAAAACCCCTTTCCTCTCGTTTTCATAATCTAATTCATGGTTTTTGTTTCTAGGTTTTTGCTTTATTGAATCTAACGTTTTTTTCCTTCAAAGTATTTTTAGGGTCTAAGAAGAAAATTCACAACTTGATGGGAAGTCGCAAGCCCAAATCCTCCAAACGGAAAAGCTCCAAGGTTATTATCCTCTCTGTCTTTCTACGCGATCATTCTAATCTCTCAATCCTTGTTTATTCTTCTCTTCTACCATGCTTGTTTTTTGCAATTTAGTTAGTGTTGTTTCTGTTTACATTTGTCAAACCCTTGGTTGCAATAGAACATAAGACGGTGAGGTTAGGGTAAAGATTTGAACTTTATGCCCAAATGTGTGTTATAAATAATGATTTTGCATCCAGCAATTCCCTTAAATCTTTTTATATTGCATCCTTGTGCAGTGACAATTTGTAAAATTTAATACATTCTTATGTGTTGCCTTGTTAGGCTTTGCAAAGTAAGAGAAGTAGAAGGAATAAATCAAAGAAGAAGCCTTCACGCCATGACCATTCCGATTTATCTTACTCGGATGATGATTCTGTAAGTTCAGTGTCTTCCTACTCGTCCAGTTCAGAAGAGGATTATAGAAGTAGGAAAGGTCGTTCACGCTCACGAGCTGATGTGAAAAGTAAAAAGAAAAGGGCTGAGAGGAGAGTATCATCAGACCGAGGGAGCAGTGAGGATTCAGTCCCTACGAGGAAAAGGAAGAGGTCAAGGAGAAAACACAACTCTGAATATAAGAGGAAGTCTCAAAAGAAGCGAAGGAGAGATGCAAGTATCAGTTCTGCTACTAGTGATTCTTTGAGCTGCTCGAGTTGTGACTCTGAGTATGAAAGCCTGAGGGTTAGGTCTAGAAAAAAGATAAGAGATAAGAGAGATTCGGATAAACATAAAATTGGAGCTAGGAGAAGTAGAAGTAAAAGTAGAAGCAAGTCTGTTAGTTCTCCTCCAAGCGAGGACCGTTTCAATTTCCATAGTGATAGTCAGAAAGGAGAGGAACACGAGTGTGAAAATAATGTTAGACGCCGCTTAAGATCCGTCATTACTGTTGTACAACACCCACAAGAGGATGAGGAGAACCAAGTGGCAAGAGATCGTGAAGAGGATATATCTGAAAATAATGACAGCGATAATGGATCAACAATAAATAAGTTAGCATACCATTCTGATATTTTATCTGATAAGAGCAGGTTGGTAGAAGACACGCCAGTTCAGGAATCTTCAGGCAGTGATGACCTTGAGCTGATATTGAGGCAAAAAGCCTTGGAGAATCTGAAAAAGTTCCGAGGAATGGTTCAAACAGAAGGTTCTAAGGATGTGCACCTAACGGGAGAGAGCAGCAGGCATGGATTGAGTAGAGAGGTATTGCATCCCACACTGGTTGAAAGTGAGAATGCAACTGAAGAATACAAGAAAGTTGAATCTGGAGTCACTAAACAGAGTCATATTCAACAATCTGATAGTTCTGGAATCTCTAAGAGTGTTAACGGAGATGGTGGCATTAATGAACCTATTGTTGATGAATCTAAACCTGGCTTACAAGCAATGCAGGATGAATCTTTGCACAGTTACTCAACACTTGAGCAAGCATCTCCTAAGGCAAATCCAGACTGCAAAAGCAGTGCAGGTAAAATTCTTGCACCGAGTTGTCAACCATTGACCCATAATTCTGCCAAGGCTGAACCAACTTCTAGCATTAGACCAGTGGAAGATCAAAGATCAGAAAACCAGCAAGCTGAACCAACTTCTAGCGTTAGACCAGTTGAAGATCAAAGATCAGAAGACCAGCAAGCTGAACCAACTTCTAGCATTAGAGCAGTGGAAGATCAAAGTTCAAAAGGCCAGCAAGCTGAAGCTAACGATAGCTCACACTTTCAGCAAAAGACAATGTCTGTCATGAGGAGTGGTGAAATGGTACAGGTAAGAATTCTATCTATTTCCTGTGCATGCTTATTAAACTAAGATTCAGATTCATGACCTTGGGTCTCTAATAATGTTTAAATGGAATATATCTCTGTTTGACCTATTTCCTAGGTGAGCTACAAGGTGTACATCCCTAAAAGAGCTCCTGCTTTGTCTAGGAGGCAACTGAAACGATGATACATTGAGTTACTATTCTTCAACCTGGTACTCTTCATGGCAATTTAGAATATTATGAATCAACAGACCGAAACTGCATGCGTAGATTATGGTTTTTTTTCTTTAAAGTTTTTATTTTTGGTGCATAGATTTAGGAAAAGTTACTCGAACTGATAAATCTTCCCTACAAAAATTTAAAGACAAAAAAAGACTATTTAGTTATTTCAATGAAACATTGATGAGTCCATGGGCAGGATTTTCTTGCTTTCCACAAAAATGAGAACTTTGTGAAACATTCATGGTTCACTCTGCTGCTTGATTTTCATATTGCTCAGTTGGTATTGATCATTTGCTTGGTCTAAACTTTCTAGGGATTGACTAAAATGTGCAAAGTTTTAAAAACTTTTTTTTTTTAAATGTGCCATTTTAAAATTTGGATAGAAATATGGTAAATCATGTTTAGCCCAAGAAAAAGAAACAATATTTAACTTAGGCGTGTCAAATAGTCCCATTTATCACTCGCAAGTATTCAATTAATCCCTTGTTATAAAATAAGATCTAATTGACCACATTTACTTTTAAAATTGTGTTCATTTAGCATTTTTGTTAGGTTTTCATCCTATAACCCTTCTGTAATGTTGTCATGAAATTTAAATAAAAATAATTGACAGAAGTGTCATATAGTCCCATCTACCACACGTAAGTGCTCAATTAACACCTTTAAAATAAGATTTAATTGGTCACATATACTTTTAAAATTGTGTTTGCTTAGAATTTTTTCTAGGTTTCCATTAGGTAACTCTTCCATAATGCTGACATGGAATTTAAATAAAAATAATTTGATGACTTGTTTTATTGTTGACTCATTCAAACCCATAGAAAATCGGTACTCTCCCTCATCCTCACCATGATCATCGCAGCTGCTGATTTGAAAACAAAGGCTTCTCTTGGCTTTGCACTATCATTTAGGCTCTCCCTTGTGTGTTCATGAAAGGTTAGTGAGTGATAACACTATCAACATTCTGCACATCCAAAATGAATAGAATAGATGCACTCAATGGCTGTCCAATTCAAAGTTTCTTGGCAAATTTGATTTCAAACACCTCGTATATTACAAGACATTTTACATTTGGTGCATGCTTAACCGAGGCAACTGAAGCAAACAAGAGAAATGAAATTCCAAATTGTTACTAGGAGCGCAATGCCATGAATAAGTTTTGCCTCCGAGCATGTCCAAGAATTAGACGGCAAAGAGTTTCAGGAAGGATGCCAGTGAGCTCTACAACAAAGCATGAAAGGGCATAGTAATAGGCACATAAATATCATACAACCATAGAAAGTCAGCAACCCCATAGTAAAGATATTGTGAGATTACTTGGGCACACCACAAGTAACAAGTGGGAGGCAGCAATCAATTTTTAGTTTTTAGATCGGCAACCGCGATGATGGTGGTGAGGATAAGGAAGGAGAGAGTACGGGTTTTCTGTGGGTTTGAATAAGTCAACAATGAAACAAGTCATCAAATTATTTTTATTTAAATTTTATGTCAGCATTATGAAAGGGTTACCTGGTGAAAACCTGGAGAAAATGCTAAGCGAATATAATTTTAAAAGTAAATGTAGTTAAATAGATCTTATTTTAGAACAAGAGGTTAATTGAGCATTCACGAATAGTAGATAGAGCTATTCAATACTTTTGCCAAAAAAAAAAAAAACCTTTTAACCCTCAATTTGATTTGATTTGGGTATTTGACTATTGCCACATCAAGTAATAGTTACTACGGATTTGATTTGATTTGGGTATTTGACTATTGCCACATCAAGTAATAGTTACTACGGAGTAATACTTAAAAGAGGATTTTCATCAATAGATGTTTAGAAATTTGTTTGCATGTTTGAAGGAGAGAGAGGGTGAGGCGAGGGAAGAGTATCTTGAGAAAGAAAATTTTGCAAGAATAAGAAAAACGAGTCAAATAAGTCCTTAAATTTTATACCAAAAGTTAATTAGACATCTAAATTTTATAAAAGTGTAATTGAATCTTCAAACATGTCAAATTGAGTCAATGAAGTCCATGAACCGGTAAACTTTACACCAAAAGTTATTACATGTCATTTTAATTCAAGAACTAATAAACAGAGATCAACAACTAATACTATTTCACATTTTTAAAGAACGCGCGCGCGCCTACACACACATATAGGATCCGCCTCCCATGAGAACTAGAACCACTCTTCAGATAAAAAGGTGTGGTCTAATATGGACCATTAAAAACAAAGATCCACGGTTGTGATTAAACCAACAAATCTTATTACATTAAGAAAATTAGGAGAATAAAATAGTGAAGAATATTTGCTCAAACGCAAATTAGTCTTCCAAGCAACTGCCAACCGTGACAAAAAAGAAAAATATTCCTTCCACGCTATGATTTCCAAACATGTTTCTTCTCTAACAATATTGATGGAAACAAATAATTATTTTTAATTACTAATACTAACACTACACCTAGAAGTCAAAAAACAAAATTCCACGACAAAAAACAAAAACAAAAAAAAAAAACAAAAAAAACCGTAACGACAGTGTAATGCACCACAACTACAACAACGAAGCACTAATACTTGAATAATGCACAACTCACAGTTCTATGATGCACCACACCTAGCTTTCCAATGCTCAATAGCCTACAATGCACCCCTTCCTAAAAGCATAAATTTATCAACAGTTCCACGATGCACCGCACTAAGCGAACTAATGCACAGCTCACTAGCCTACAATGCACAACTAGCAACACTGGGTTGCACAATCAACACAATTGAATGCACAATTGTACCACCCATAATGTGTACATATACACCAACATCCAAATATAGACCATCTATACTAAACAAAATTGAAAAAACAAAAAAAAAATATTAGTCACTTTCCATTGACGAGCACTAAATAGATGAAGAAGAATTGAAGCTTGTGTTCTCAAGGTCTAATGCTCTTGTTGAGAGTCGAACTCAAGACCTCCCACTTACTAAATGGGTGCTCTAACCAACTGAGCTACAAGAGCTAGATAGTGTATTACTAAAGGATATGTATTGCTAAGGCAAATATGGTGAATACTGATCTTACTAGAGTCATCAAACCGGACGAGGCGCCGCCTGCAACAGGACCCATTCGAAAGGACGGACGAGTCCGCGAACCATCCTGAGCCGGGAGAGTGAGGAAGCCATCCTGCTAGGCGGATGACTAGGAGAGCCATTTGGAGGAGCCGGACGGGTGTAGGAGTCAGAATAGACCGAGTGAGTGGAGAACCTGGGACCAAATGAGTAAAGGAGCCGGGAAGTGGGGACCGAGTCAGCGAAGGGATCGAATACTTGATGAATGAAGGAGCCAATCGAGATGATCTGAGAGGGTCAGGGAGCCAGGAGGAGCCGAGAGGGGCAATTCTGAGGCCGAGTGATGAACGGAGTCGGTAGTTAGAAAGAGAAAAGTCTGAATAGTCCGTTGTGATGAGCCATTAACACGCAATTAACAAGGATTAAAAGCCATTATGAAGCACGTCGTGGAGGAGGGCTAGAGCTGGCCATGTCTAGGGTATAATTAAGGCATTTATTGTTAATATTAGCTCATTAAATGTATTAATAATAGGCTGAGCTCAACGGTCACTCAAAATCGCTATAAAAGGCCTCTGTAGACTGTAGGGCACTAAGAAAGGGGTTAAGCATTCTAAATATACACGAGAGTTCTGTGAGCACATTTTAAGAGTTCTTACTATTTTCTCGCGAGCTATTATCCATTTCCGGTTGTGTTGGAGCACTGACGAGCGGCCAAAAGTCCAAAAATCAATAATAATAAAGACATTATTATCCCCACTTTTTAAAAAAATTAATGTGTCTTCTTAAGAAATCAAATCTATCTCATCTAAATAAATAAAAACACACACAAGATTAATCTACACGTTCTCACTTGATTACGACTACTACTATACACACATACACAAATGAATCAAATGAGAACATGGTACTCCTATAAAATGTTAAGATGGATCTTAATCATTTATCAAAATTTATCAATAGTTAAAGATTTTAGTGAAAAAAACGCAAGATCAATTTTATAATTATTAAAAACTTTAAAGAATATAATTTATTTTATAATTATTGCAAACTTAAGATTGTAGCACAAAATTGTATCGTTCTTGAAGAATCATTGTCGGTGTAAATCTATCATAGCTAAAGGGTGTAAACAAAAATGGCAATTTTGAAATCTGCTGAACAAAAGAAAACTTTTTGCATAAACTTTATAATCAGAAAATACAATTTCTCCTTAACTTTTCACTTAGTATGAACTATGAAAAACAAACTAATTAACATGTGAATTGCAAGGGTAACACAACTCGGAAAGGGTATCTCTTCAACCAGAAAAAAAATACAAAAATATAAAAATGAATTAGAATATATAAAAACAGGGTTTCTTAGAATGATATGTACATTTAATCGAAATTAATTAAAAGCAACCAAAATCAAAAGGCATTCTCGCATTACAAGATTCAAGAATTTAGGTCTCGGGATGCTTGTCCTTGCCATCTGCATTCAAAACATGTTGGGGATTACATTAGTGTTCAGAATATGAGTGAAACCTAGATGAAGAACCAAAGGTATGTTTGAACAATTCATTTTTGCAGCTAATCATTGGAAATCACAATTTCAAAGTTTTGGAACTTAAAGATAGCATTATTTTGATTTACGTGTTTTTGCATTGCAAACAACAATTTGATCGAGTAATCATATGACTAACCTTGAGAGTAAGAACCTCGCCAGTGAGCTCATATTGGCATTTGATTGGAGCTCCTTGCTCTGCTGTTTTTTCTTGCTATCAGTTTCTGTGCTTGAACTCTCTGTCTTGCCTTTTGTAAGGATTCGGCCTGCCAGTTCTTGCAGATCTTTCAAAGAAGATTCCCTCGAACTGCATAAAAGAATGTGCACTCTACTTAAAGGTATACCTTTCTGACAATATAATCGTTACCCTAAAATTATATCATATAGAAACAAGAAATTACTACAACAATCAACCAACCTTGCCAATCGCTGAAGTAGCCTGGTGACAAATATATCACAAGATCCAGGCTTTATACGCTCCATCTCTAGAAAAGTGCTTGCCATTGTCTGCGCATATGATCCTTCTCCATCCCCAGCTACAGCCTACGTCAAATATACGACCAAATGCAACATATGAGCAAATTATGAATCAAGAATGCCAATTATGAATCAAGAATGATGAAAGGGAGTGCAAAATATGTATACCTCTCTTAGTGAAGGTACGAGAAGAGTAGATAACGTGGCTGAAGAATGCGTTGCAGGCATCCTAGCAGCATCATCTGCATCACTAGTACGGTGAGGTCTTAAAAATGCTTTCTGTGCATCAAAGTAATCACGGGAATATCTGCAATGGAAGATTGAAATTTCAGGATACAAAGTAAAAGACGAAAGTACAATTAGTCAAGTTCATAAACTGGTTCATTTTGCATGGGGTGCCCCCGCATAAAATACACAGCACACCTCGAAGGATCAGTGGTCACTGTTGATTGATCTGTTCTACTATTTTCTTTCCCATCTCTGTTGGCCTTGCCCAACATTGACCTTTCTCGAACATTTACTTTCTTTATGGCTGCTTGCATTGAAGCCCTTGCCTGATTAAATTATGGTTATGTTAGTCTTATAAATATAAAGTGATAAAATTTATTTATAAATTCAATAACCAAACATTGAGAACTTTCGGGTACAAATTAGTTCATATAAATTTTTTAAGTAATTTGAAGTATAAGCAAACCTCCACAAGGTTTGTTTCACTGTCCTCTAATGATGTGCTTGAAGATCTCTCTTGAATTCCCAGCCGAGATCTAGGAGTTCGAGGAGAATCTGTATCATCATTTCGTCCACGATATACTACAGTGCCACTAGTAGAAGCATCTTCAACCGCAGCAAATGAGCTGCTAGACTGAGAATTATCCTCATGTCAATTGGCAATTACCACAGGAAAAGATATTAGCTTATCCGTTTAGATATTTCAGTGGAAAAAGGAATACTACCAGATTGCTTCGCTCACTAACTAAAGAAGACTGAACTGCTCTTGGGGTTCTAAAGACTACAGTTCCTGTCCCACTCGCAGACAAATCTTCCTGCAAATCAATGATATAAGATTGACCAAACAGGAGATGTGAGGAAATGACAATATACAAGAAGTAAAAAGCAAGAGATTTATCAGAAACCACTTAATTTGAGCACCTTACAGGTTACTCAATCTAATCATGAAATCTCAACATCACATGAGTGAGAGAGAGAGAGAGAGAGAGAGATGGGAAGCATACATCTTCCGAGAAGGAATCTTGTTTCTCATGAATGTAAGCATCTCCAGGATCTTTCCCACTGGACATCTCTGATATTGAATTATAAGTGACAGTTCCAGAAGCAGAAGACCACTGGTTACGATTATCCAGATTTTTTCTTGAGGCAGCTTGGTTTAATGGAATGTCTGGTTTCCTATCTCTAGCTTGGGGAGGTCTTACAACACTTCGCACAGTTCCGGTATTAGATCCTTCAGTGCCGAAGTCCCATCCAGCATTTTTCTGGGTTTTCCCTTGACTGATGAAAGTTAGTACCATTAAGCCAAAAATCCAGAAAACAAATGCAATAAGCAGAATCAAGAGATTCTACAAACCTCACTCGAACAGTATCATCTATTCCAGAATCTCTAGTCACCTTAACAGTGCCAGATGCTTCCCCTAATGGCTTTACACCGCTTCTAGGGGTTACTGTGTCATCCTTTGGCTGAAACTTAGGGCGTTCCCTACGAGATAACAAGGTGAATAACCTCAAAATTTTAGTGCAAGCATTAATACTGAAATCTCATTTTTAAAATTACGTTGAACTTAAAATATTCAGTGCCGTGACTTGATGCCAGCATATCTATTACTATTACTACCTAAATCAGAGAACCATAGCTGATAACAATATGTAACTACATTCACAAATCAAGCATGTTTCAAAAAGTATGCCTTCATGTACCCACATAAGATGTGTCGAAAATGGGATGTACCTGATTCGCTCCAAAAGTCTTGGGCTCTTCTTTGCACTCCTGATAAAACGATGCTTTAGAAGTTCCTTTGCACTTAGCCTCTGAAATTAGGAAGGAGATCAGAGTGAATGAGACACATGACCAACCATTGAAATATGCAAGTCAAGTAACAACTGCATAACTTAATTCGGAAGAAATGAAGATGCAATGTGCATAACAGTAGATCTCTGGAAAAAGGTTTAATTTCAATTATCTATGCTTTCATTTATCCTCAACTTATTTTCACCTTCAATGCAGTAAGTTACTTTTTGTTCAGACAGTATAAGAAGGTGAAACCAACCTCAGCAGGGTTTTTCTTTAAACATGATGAAATGAATTCTTTTATAGGACGAGAAAAGTGTTCATCTAGCTGCATCGCAAATATGTAAGTGTCAATGACCAATAAATTAAAACCATTTATTGAAAATATAAAAAATGAACCAAGACTCCAGTTCTATGAACAAGATATTAAAATCCAAATTGATTAGAAAATTAGTAAAACAAACCTGTGGTGGATTTTCTCGAGGTATGATGAAAAGAACTCGCATTGGGTGGAGATCAGCTAGTGGAGGTTCACCTTTTGCCATCTCAATACCTGTTATACCCAGAGACCAAATATCCGCCTGCATCAAACAAAGACACGCAGCATTCGAATGGTGTTAAAAGTAAACACTAACTTTGAGACGTAAAAGACTTCCAAGTGCTGCCTCAATAATTTAACAAGTGAACAAAGATACCTTCTCATTATATCCGTCTGAATTCTGAATTACTTCTGGTGCCATCCAGAATGGTGTTCCTACAAATGTCTGTAAATATTTGTTACATCAGTCTGAATTATGAGAAACATCCCTTTTATATGCATATTACTACAGTTGTATCTGCCACATCTCTTAGAACTATATCCAAAAAAACATTCCTAGTATGGAAAAAAGAAACCCAGGTTACTAAACTATATACCTAGGATTTATCCAGAGCAAATCCATAATCCACAAACAAAAAATTATGGAATAGAAACATAATATATATACTAAATAAGAAAATGTGCTAACAGAAGAAAATAGTTAGGTAGTAAGAAAGGAAATATAATAGATAAGACCATTACTTGGATCATAAAAGATTTTTCATTTATTCCTACTTTGGAAAAATGTCAAATAAGCCATTGAACTATACAGAATAATATAGTGAAGCCTCTGAACTCCAAAAAACTTTGATTAAGCCATCAAACTAGCAAAAAAGAGTGCAATTAGTACCTTTTTGGTGGTAAGCTTCCAGTGACAGTTAATGCTGACTTGATGCTGCTGATGTGTGTGTGTGTGTGTGTGTGTGTGTTTTAAAATGTCTTTGAAAGAAAATTTATGTGATATCACTTAGTTTTTTTCCTATTTTGTCCATCAACCATGGAAAATGGACAAAGTTGGGCATAGATTATGGTAATTGTCCGAATAGGAGATTCTTCATCAGTTCATCCAACATTCCAACAAGCACCAGCGAAAGGAAAGACCAGCAGATCACGTCACTTCATCATAAACGAAGACAAATCGTCCAGATTTATGAATTCAACCATGAATTTTTATTTTCTATTTTTTTGTTTTTAACCCCATGGCAGCCAAGGTGAAGGTTGCCATGGTTGTTTTCCTTCTTCATCCCAAACGAACAAGGATCTAGAGGGCACAACATGAACTCTAAAAAAAGAAAAGGAATAAAAGTGAAGAACTCATTGAGATCCGGACAAGTTCTTCAGATCTGAAACTATATCTGGACGAATTTCATCCACACCCAAAGCCAGAAAGAAAATCAAGGGCCAGGGAGGGGCGAGAGATGCTACTCTGGCCATGCGGTTTTGGTTGGGCTTGGTGGTCCGGCGGTGGCAAGTGATTTTATTGACAACTGAAAAGATGAAACGTTCTCCCAATATATGCTATTATGCTGTACAGTAGTAGCTGAGATGGTGACATAAAGGTTTGACAGATTTCATTGAGTTCTTAAAAAAAGTGGTGCTTAGCTTGTCAGTAACATATTACTCCATATTATTATTATTACAGGATAGTGCAAGGCACCCTAGGTGTATTATTGTTATTATTATTATTGAATTAATACAATACATCAACTCTAAAAACACACTTGGAAGCCACGTCAGCTTACCAAGTCAGCTAAAAGCATCTAGTCAACAGGTTAGTACTGGTTACATAATGGTAACCTGCAAAAATATACCAATTGCATTTTTTTGTTAGTTTGATTGTTAATTGAAACTTTTTATAGTTTGGTGGCTTAATTGCATAATTTTGATATAGTAATAGTACAAGGGTTTATTTGACCCTTTTCCCTTTCTATTTCTATTTGTACTTTCAAGTTTCAAGAGACTGATCAGAAGGCCACACAAAAAAGGAATAACATAAGCAATTGAATTACTGTTCAATAAGTAATTAAGTATCCAAGATGCCACATAGATTAGGAAACTAAAACACTTTTAAGTTTGCAGTAAATGAAAATGCTGGAGGAAAAGAGTGAAATAACCAACAAATCTACTCCTCTTTTTATGGGACCACCCACATCGACATTTATACGAAGAGAAGACCTAACACATAAAAGGAGGACTAAAGACAAGAAAAAATGTATAAATATAAATTCAACTATGCCAACATACCAACAACATAATTTCATCAAACAATTTGCGCATGCATTTTGGAGAATTAATTTCAAGGACATGGAAACGGTACCTTCCTTCTTGAAATTGTCCTTGTCAATTGAGCAGAAACACCAAAATCTGCAACCTATTACAAGGTAACCAAAAAAAAAAAAACAACAAAAAAAAAGGTGGTTGATTAGTTGATATATAATCAGCTTGTTGATTTTACACATGATGTTAGTTTTCTTATTATATGCATAATGATAAATAGGAATCATAAACAAAGAACATACCTTCACATCCCCGTTCTCTGATAACAAGATATTTGCCGCTGTAAAAGAAATATGATAAGGCAAATAACTTCTAATATGCACACAGAAAACAGAATTACTACAAGTTAAGCAGGTTATGGTAACACAAAAGGCTAAAAGCAAATATGACATGTGATGGTTTCTAGAAGTAATGAAATTTATCAGCCATTGACATTATTAATTGAATCCATAGAAGTCATTCCAGTTATGCACTCATTGTTGTTTGATTACCATGCACCTACATTGGCAGCCCAAAAGCATTACCTCAATTTCCCATGTTTAATAAATAGATCTCTTAACATTTACAGCACTGCTTCATAAATAGTTTTGGAAAAGGGAGAACCTTTAATATCTCGATGAATTTTGCCTTCAGTATGTAGATAATCAATAGCATGGAGTAAATCACGTAAAATGCAAGCAATGGACATTTCATCCAATGGTAGATTTGGTTGAATCTGCATGGAAAATTTCTTAGTAAGTATGAGAATAAGAAGCCAACAGAAAAACAAAACAAAACAAAAACAAAAACAAAAGCAAAAACAAAAAAAAAAAAACAAAAACAAACAAAAACAAAAACAAAAAACAAAAAAAAAAACAAAAAAACAAAAAAAAAAAAAAAAGAGCCTAAAGCTTTTAAAATATTAGTTGAGGTTTAGGCTAACCAAATGGCCCAAAACCCTTAAACAAGAAAAATAGGTTAGACAAGCGTAAGAGTTAAGGCTGGCTAGCAAGAATCACATCTGCTAGGTGCTGTGTTCCATATGATCCACAAAAAGGCATTACCTGTGTCAATAAAGACTCTTCTAGACTAGAAAATAGCCAATGCAAAAATTATTCACATTATATTTATTTATTTATTTGCAATGGTAAATTTGGGGAAAATGCATCATAATATTTCCTGCCAGTAGAGGGTAGGGAATATCTTAGAATATGTGACCTACTATATCAGCAACGGAGCCACCAGCCATGTACTCCATAATTATCCATAGCTTAGTTTGGTGCAGATAAGACCCATAATACTCCGTAATATAAGGAGATCGGCATTGTTGGAGGACAGCAATTTCCTAAAAAGAGTCATCAAACAAAAAACTGTTTACTAATCCATTTTAAATACTCTGTCAGAAAATCATGATTAGCTACATGCAATGTGCAATTAAAAGATACCTTTTGAATATCCTCGATTTCATCCTCTCTGTAAAAAATAATAAAATAGTTCCAAGAAACATTTTAGAATAAACACAACAAGTATGAAACTGAAGCAAGGGAATAAGGGACTAAAGATATATTCCCAAGACAGGAATCCCCATTTAATCACAATAATTAGCTTGACTGAACCATGCTAAGCAAGACTCAAGAAAAAGCATCTCATATCACTGAATAGAATAAAGAAATATACTCACGATTCTTCTAAATCAATGACCTTAATGGCAACCAGTTTGCCCAGCTCCTTGTCAAACCTGCAAATCCAAGAATGAAAGATGAAGCATAAAGATGCACAGCTACAATGACAAATAACTCATTGAGATGAGATTTCCATAGGTAACAACAGAAGCAAGCAGAACTCTTCTTGTAAGAGCTCTCACTTTATTAAGAAATGGACTCAATGCATTTCTAAAATGATAACTATAACTATAACTATTATACTGCTGCATGAAACTGAAGCATGCAGTGTGTTGTGAAGAGCAATACCAGAGGGTTCTATTGTGAACAACATATTATAAGCCCTGAAGGGTGTCATTATTGAAACTACTGTTAATAAAACTGAAGTATGCAGGATGGTTCAACCACTCTGCGCATGTTTTGGGACCTATAAGACTTGGCATCAGTGTCCCTAAATTCCTAAAGCAGGCATCAGAAGAATAAGAGTATTGCATCCACAACTTCAAAGAATGCAATCTACTAAGGCAATTAAGGGTATTAAAAGACCACAAACTAATGGCATTCCCAGCAAAAATCTATATCTACACCTACTATGAAAGCCTTCATGGAAAATAACATGATATAGGTAGGCAACTTTTCCTAGATTTTGCAACAAAGATTCCCTTATTAGACAACAACAAAATAAAGAAAACATATTTGTTCAATAATTTTTTTCCCAAATAACTGCCACTTCTATCCACATTCCACAAGTGTATTTCCAGAAGGTCAAATCACAAAATAAGCACAAGTATGAATGGTTCTACACCTTTAAACATTTATTATAAGCACCTGCCATTGATGGAATATTATGACACAGGAAAAGTATTTAAATGCTTACCCTTTATAGACATCACCAAACGAACCTCTCCCAATGAGTTCCAGATCACTAAACCTGGATCCTGAGGCTTCAATAAGGAGTGCTGCATCAGCCATATCTGCCATCTCTACCTACAACTCTCCTTCAAACTCCCAATACAAACACCAGTGAACAAATTACAAACATTCTACTCCACCTCCGTATTCAACACACTGCAAATTCAATACATGGAGAAACATGTTTGCTTAAACTCACTCCTAAGCATTAGCTACTATAACAAATCACTAATATAGCTTCAACAACACAAAAAGTCAAATAGAATCACAATTGGAGATCTAAAATGTCGTAATAAATTTCAATTTCAAAACCGCAATGTGGTAAATTCTAAGACGCAATTTTTACGAAACAGACTCGTTAGGTAGGGTGGGGAGTGCTAAAATGACAATCCAACAAATCTTGTGCACTTTCTCACACACCCAACGCCTTGCCCCCCAAAAAAAATCCAATCTTTTTCAGAACAAAACGATAGCGAAACAACGCCAAACAGTGACCTCCTGTTTCAGAGATTTGAAAGAGGGCCTTCGAGTGTTTTACGAATCTCAGGGTTTGTCTAAAATAAACAAAATAAAATAAACTAACCTTGTAAATGTGAATTCGAAGGTGAAAAGAATGATTGATTCTGTGGATTTACGGCAGTGAGAATGAAAATTTACCCAGTGGATAAATCATCGATGAGCTGTGGATCTCTCTTTGGTCCTCTCTCTATGTCTGTGTGTGAAAACTGTTGTCTTCTTCTCCTCACTGGCTTTGTGGGTTTCTGCAGAAGGGATCGAGAAGAGGAGAAAGAGAAAAAGAAAGATGTTTCCTGTACGTAGTATCGTTTATTATTGGGCGAAATAATTCGTTTCTGGACCGGGTGAATGAACCGGACATAAAAACAACCCCGTTAACCCATTTTTCCTTTTCTTCGGTTTCTTTACCGTAGAAAATTTAAGAAATGCAATTACACACTAACACCATATATTTGTTGGACTATATATAATAATAGTTTTTTTAAGTAACGCACTCTTACTTACGGTAATGGCTTTTGAAAATTCAATGTGCTTGGCCCACTATTGAACATCGTCACTCCTTACGTGATAGAGTTTATGCGAAAATGAGGAGAATGTGAATTGTAGTTGAAGGCGTAAAAAGTATGCAATAACATACAAATGTATCTCGTGAGTGGAGGAGGTGTACTAATTGCTAATGATAAATTATATAATATTATATCGATTGTATTGATCATCATTGAAAACAACGTTCTCTTTATAAACAAAATAGCTGGTTGGCACCTCATTATTTTTGTTTTCATACATATTTTACCACCATCCCCATCAGATCTCCTACATTAAACATCAAATCAACGTAATTTGTGTTGGGGTTGCGATTAAAAAGAAATATCATATTCAATGCGCTTGGCCCACTATTGAACATCGTCACTCCTTACGTGATAGAGTTTATGCGAAAATGAGGAGAATGTGAATTGTAGTTGAAGGCGCGTAAAAAGTATGCAAGAACATACAAATATATCTCGTGAGTGGAGGAGGTGTACTAATTGCTAATGATAAATTATATAATATTATTTAGATTGTATTGATCATCATTGAAAACAATGTTCTCTTTATAAACTAGCTGGTTGGCACCTCATTATTTTTGTTTCATACATATTTTACCACCATCCCATCAGATCTCTTTCATTAAACATCAAATCCACATAATTTTGTGTTGGGATTGCAATTAAAAATAAATGTCATTGGCACCACCTATGACCCTATATGGGAACACAATATGAAAAGTTGGTGTTATAAATTCTATCATTTCATTTATTAGTAAGGAGGTAGTGATAGAGATCAACAATTAACAAATAATGTTCAACATTGGGTAAGAAAAGTTTCATGGGGTTAGCTAGAAAGTTTGTCTATATTAACTCCCTATATGAGGATATAGGAGGATTGGAAAGACCGACCAATTGTGGCGTTTGGTATGTCAAAAGAATAAGGCATTGATCGATTGATCACCTATGCTGCACTGAAACTCCATCGAGATCCCCTTTTCGCGTTTTGAAAACATTTCATACCCAAAACTCAAAGAAACATTTTCAAGTCGTTTCTTAATTTGTCAAAAGTTTTGAGACCGTTTTCTAGGATAGAAAATGTGCATCCCCTCATCAAACCGGCAGCAACCGTCATTACACGAAAAATACAAATACAAATTGCGGGTTACTTTAATATATGAAAAATAAAATTAAGCGCTAGAGTTTAACATCTTCAATTTTCATTTTTCTTCCGTTAATTAAGGCCATGTTTGGTAAAAAATTGGCCAATAGGCTAATTTTGACTTATTTGACCACTATTAATTGTTTGATTTAGTTAAAATATCAATATAAATATTTGGTTAATTAGCTTTTTGCAACTCCAAAGGACTAAAATTCAAAAAGTTACTCCAAACAATTTTTTCAATTAACTTTTTGAAAAAAGAAATTATACCAAACAGCTATCAGCTAACAGCTAATTTATCAAACACTTTTCTACAATCAGCTAATATTATTAACTATTTATACTCTCTAATTAACACAATCAGCTAACAACTAACAACTATCAGTTAACAGTTTTCAGCAGCGACTTCATGCCTCTCCATCAGAACGAATACATAAAGCATCCACGTATGGATCTTGAAGTTTCCACATAACAGAATAAATGTTTTAAGATTTTTTTAAAAAAAAAATTAATGAAATGCATACTAAAGTGTATAATCAATATGCAAAATTATATCTTAAATTGAAATCAATTTTTTTTTGTTTTTAAATCAAACTGCACTTCATTATATTTAGTGATTCAAATTCTATTCGCAACATGTATGATACATATCCAATAATGAGATGGTGGACATGTTGTGGTTCAAGTACAGTGCACCTTTACTTCAAAGGTTGGGTTTTTTTCTTTTTTTTGGAAAAAAAAAAAAAATCTTCTTGAACAACCTACTTCATCTTCTTGTTTTGAAAGGAAATGGAGTAGCTATTCATTCATCCATTCATTTAGAAAGAATAACTCCAAAGTGTGTTGAAGATTTGGTTTTTTTCATAATAACATTCATCTTTATCAAGAAATACAATTGAATATCATGATGTCAAGTAAAAAAAATGTGTAATGTTAGAAGGACATGAATTTGTAAGCACTGATGATGTTGGCATTCTTCAGTTTACCAACTTATTATTGGATGAACCTAATTTAGAATATGTATTTTTTTACGAAGATGTAAGTGAAACTTAAGTTAGAAACTCAGAATGTTTCATTGTTTATTTGCAATTTGGAATTTTACTTTGAATTGTTTTTATTTCTCTGGCTTTTGCGGTATTTGGTATTGTATAATATTAAATCATTGGTCAATTATCAAATATTGAGGTGTCTTATAAGGCTCCATTGTTATGCTTTGGAGCAGTAAGAGAGGTGTCTTAATTATTACTAGCCACACATTTAATGTTCAGTGAACTTACTACTTTATTGCCTTACATTGTTTTTGTATCTATTTTCCCGTTGTTGTATTTCCTTACATGTTTTTTTTTTTTTTGGTGAAGGTTGTATCTCCTTACTGCATCTACATGTTGCAACATATTGGAAATTAGTGAGTTAATTCTAATATTAGGAATTAATATTGATTAATTCTAATTTATTTGAGAGTTAATTCTAATATTATGAATTAATATTGATTAATTATAATTTAGTTGAGAATTAACTCTGTAACATTAAATTTATTTTGATTAATTTGTCAGATATGCGAATTACAAATTTAAAATTTAAATCCAATTTTGAATGTTATGATTGTTAATGAATCCCACTATTTCTATAAATACCTTGCCTTGGACATAATATTTTTCTGATCAAAAACTCTTATTTTTACCCATATATAAATAAAACATATATGAAGATACATATAAATATTGTTGGATATGGACGAAGAATAAAATACATCAAAACTTTATAAAAATAATCATAACATAATATGAAACATAATTACTTTGATAAAATGATTCGAATATAAAATACATTATAAATCACACTTCTCATATCTCATTATTAATATATTAAAAATGATAATTATTGGATATGGTGAAAAACAAATATTTTAAAAAAATTATCATTGTAGCTGACTCATGCCTTACTACACTAAATCATGTTAAGAATGAATTAAAACTCAAGAACTTTCATAAGTTATACACCTGCCTTACCAACTTGAGCAATGAACTTATATTTCATTTACTTTTATCTATATTTTATATATTATATATATGGAAGGGTTCGGGTGCGATAAAAGCTTCCCGTGCAGTTATGCGGTTGACGGCTCAAATCAATGAATTTTTTTTTAAAAAAAAATTGTGTATGGAAGAAAGGAGCTAAAAATGGCGCACATTAAGTGATAGAAACACACACCTTAAGTATTAGAACAACGCACCTTAAGTGTTATAACAACGCACCTTTAAGTGTTAAAATGACGCACATTAAGTTTTGTTCTTGAGGGTCTGAACCACCCCTCAGTTCAAAAGTTTTGTTCTTCTTGAGAGTCTGAACCACCCCTCAGTTCAAAAGTTTTGTTTTTCTTGAGGGTCTGAACTACCCGTGACTCACAGAGAACGGTGCGCGAAGAAGAAACAAGACGCACCTTAAGTATTAGAACAACGCACCTTAAGTGTTATAACAACGCACCTTAAGTGTTAAAATAAGGCACATTAAGTTTTGTTCTTGAGGGTCTGAACAACCCCTCAGTTCAAAAGTTTTGTTCTTCTTGAGGGTCTAAACCACTCCTCAGTTCAAAAGTTTTGTTGTTCTTGAGGGTCTGAACTACCCGTGACTCACAGAGAATGGTGTGCTCATATAGCAAATGTGAGTAATGGTGAGTGTACGGGTGTTATGTCGTCCTCGGGGGATTGGGGGTTATGGCACGCAATATGCAATCGCAATAAACTAGGCACTAGCATAAGGAAATCAACAAGAAGCTAAGCAAATCATAACGAGATTGAGGCTACGGTAACTAAACAAAGTAACACGAACACATATTAAGAAGATGTAAACACAAAATAAAGAAACAGGACTCAAGCTAGGGAGCATTATCTTCTAGATGCATAGCACAACCTAAGGATTGGGGAAAATCACACAACCAAGGAATAGAGGGGATGCACGTAGGAATCCTAGTCTATAAGTCACTCACGTGAGCAAATTAACAAGGATTAGAACAAGGAATTGCCCACTCTCGTGGTGAATCAACTCCAAGTTCTTCAAGAACACAAAGCATCTAAAACCCCCAATTTCCCCCATTTTCATAGGAAAAATCGGGTTTATGCAAGGAGTAGCTTGGAATCTTAACCCAACTCTCATTGAGGCCAAGAATCCTCCAAAACATGTCAATGAATGTTGTACACCAAGCATTAACAATATACAAACACAAATCCTTCATAAACTCAAGAACCCTAGGTTAGAGTTCTTCCCCTTTTTGCAATAATCACAAATCAAGCATCAAGATAGATAATACAACCCTAACTCAAGTCCATAAACTAACTACTCATGATTTAATAGCATAAAGAACACAAAAACACAAGTGTAAAGCATAAACATTGCAAAGGAAAAGAGATAAGGGAAAGAACACTTCTCTAAAGAAATTGATGCTAAATCTTGGAATCCAAATGTTGAATCCTTGAATAGAAGCTTGAAATATGATAAAGAACCTAAATCTACACATAATCTAACACTAAAATATGAAAGGAAAGAGTAGAAAAGAGTTTGGGTTCGAATGGGGTTCAAAACCGAGTACAAATGAGTGAAAACTCAGCTAAAATAGAGCAGAGACGGGGGGCTCGACGCGTCGAGCATTTAC